TGTGCATTGCTAACAGCGGAGCTATCTCAGCCGACAGGCTGCTTGTTTTAATAAGGAAAGGTATCTAGAGTGATTGATGGAGGTAAAACTGTGTTTCAGTCCACACCGCAAAGTGTATGCATTTCGTCTATTAGTTGAGGATTCTGTTTGGAAACCAAATGTGGTAATATCACAAATTACACAAGTTAGGGATAAGAACTTCACACTGGAAATTGGTTAATCATGAGTTACCATGATACCTGATTACACTGGCTGAAGGTAGCTGTCATGAATAAACTAGAAACATTTCATGTACAAATAACTCTAGAAGCAAGTAATCTACCAGATTTCTTGGATTTTGCTTTGATTTGAGTCCCATTGTGTTTGAACCAAGTTTGCAGACATGTGGATGAGTCACTTCCTGTCTACACATGAATGATTTCAGTATTGTTACAATAGGGACACTGCGAGAGAAGTTGTAATTTCGGCCAAAATTGCTTCTATTACGTCTAATTCAAGGAACTCAGGAGTGCATGCTTTGACTAAACTTCTTTTGACGTTCCACTCGCCGACATATGTTTCATGTAATTGATAAAATGATACGGTGATTGAATTTAGCTGTAAATTACTGCCCCTTGTTTGTTGCGTAGTCATGTCTGAACTACTAGCTGTAACATTCTTGATGGACGAAGTGTGAATCTGTCATAGTCAAGCTTGCAGATCTTAAATAGTACATACTAAATATGAACTTTTAGCTACAATTGTTTTCATTTGTCTTTTTGTGACAAGTCGTATGTAAATCATAATGTGTTTCACTAAACTTTGTTCTTAGAAATATTTTACCTCTAAAGTCCAGAGTAAACGGAAAATGCACACACAAAAAATCCAAATATTTTCTAAATATTTCTAGTTTGAACTGTAATGAATTTAACATTTTGGGTGTTATTTGGTATAATACATAAGAATCGAATTACTAGTATTGTCTATTTTTCCCTATAATTAGCAAGGTATCCCTGGAAACACGTATTATACCATAATAATATTAGTATTCAGTGGCATTCTTGTTTGTAAATGCATTAGTCCTTAAGTATTGACTTTAAGATGTACGAAGATGTTAACTTTTGTGGTTTTAATGGACAGTTCTGACAAAAAGATGAAATCAATTGAGCATCACAAAATGCTTTCAAACAATGGAGCGGTAATAATGGAAATTGATGGAACAACTACCACCCATGTGAAACTAATAGAATTTCACAATGTCCATTAAAATATATTTAAATAAAGTAACAAATGGAAACTGTCACTTTCTATATCAGTCATGTGCAGCAGCAGTAACAAAAAGGAGTTCATCTTTATAGTTTTATTTCATTGAACAATAGAGTGTGCTACTTGACTTTTGTTTTAAGTGAGTGAGTCATACTCTTAGTGGTATGCAACCGAAACCATAGCCGCAATCTCTATTTTATCTCTCCACCTGTTCAAAAAGTTTACAAAAGCATCATATTTAAGAAATGTAATTTTTAGGAGATATGCACAGTTTATGATAGCCATTCAAGGAAGATTTAATTACATTTACTTTGTTATAGAAAGTTTTATTCTATGAAATTTGATCAGAATTTTTAAATGTTGCCATGGGGGTAACACTTAGAAGGTATCTGAAGTAGTTGGTGTAAGTAGCATTCTAATGGGGTTGGTGAAGCTTCATCTGTTCTAATAATTGCAAGCCTCAAATTGTTCAAATGTTTGAAAATAACACTAATGATTGTTATTTCAGTTTTAACCTATTGTACAAAATTAGATTTTCGACTTCTTGAAAATGGCAATTGCTTTATTTTATATGTTGACACCTTGGGTGGACTGCTGACATATTTGTTCATTTTGTGACAATACCTTTAATTCGTAGTGAATATTTTTGTAATTTTCGATAAAAAAAGTGCTGTTTTCAACTATACCAGAAAAGGGAGCTGCTTAGTTGAAAGAAAACACTGTATTTATGCTATATTTATGCTGTATTTTGATAACATTATGCAGATAAGTGTTGCTCCTGCAGTCTTCTAAATTAATAAGTTTATTGTTTGAACAGGTACCTTCACTCACTCTTGTATTTGGCTCTCCTATTAAAAAAAAATGGGTGTACCCCTTAACAGGTTCTCCCCATCTCCAAAAATATTTGTCTTCCCCTGCATTCAGCTCTCCTATTAAAAAAAAATGGGTGTACCCCTTAACAGGTTCTCCCCATCTCCAAAAATATTGGTCTTCCCCTGCATTCAGCTCTCCTATTAAAAAAAAATGGGTGTACCCCTTAACAGGTTCTCCCCATCTCCAAAAATATTGGTCTTCCCCTGCATTCAGCTCTCCTATAAAAAAAATGGGTGTATCCCTTAACAGGTTCTCCCCATCTCCAAAAATATTGGTCTTCCTCTGCATTCAGCTCTCCTATAAATAAATGGGTGTATCCCTTAACAGGTTCTCCCCATCTCCAAAAATATTGGTCTTCCCCTGCATTCAGCTCTCCTATAAAAAAATGGGTGTATCCCTTAACAGGCTCTTCCCATCTCCAAAAATATTGGTCTTC